GGGCTGCAGCAGCCACCACAGGCATGATCTGTGCCTTGAATTGTCCAGTGGATGCTACAATAGCAGGAAAAATAGGTACAGAAGTAGCTTCGATTTCCTCCATGTCATGGGTGGCCACGTCTTTCTCCTCCTGTTCAATTAGTCCCTTCTCATTCCAGCAGTCTGCTCTGCTGCTGAGTCATTCAGTCCTCAGGCAGCAGATTCTTTTTTTTGCTGCACCTGCAAATTCTCATCCATCGAGCATCTGCGCTACTTCTTTGATGTGTCGTTGTGTCTGCTGAGACAAATGGCCCTGAAAAGCAATGAAAATAGCAGGTCAGTTCTGTGTTTGGGGAAAACGCAGAAACGATCTTCTTGATGGCATGTTGCAGCTTTCATCTCCTCGGATGATGCATTCTCTTTGATCTCCTTCTTGAAGTTTGTTCTGTCACCTGTTCCCCTCGTAAGAATAGTGGAAAGAGTCTTACAGACTTTTTGTTGGCAAATGAAACACTGGCTCTTGTGAGCTTGATATATGGAAGTAGAAGGTGGGAGTTATGTGACTTTAATATTATTTCAGGCTGCTGAGACGTGATTAAATATGAACTTGCTGGAAATACATGAGAAAAATATTTTTCCAAGCTGCTAGTGGCAAACCTTTCCTTTCTAGAGCTTTTTGCTCTCCTAAGATTGATGAGAAAATTAACAGCAAGGAAGAGTGAAGGAGTAGAGTTGAGATGCATTCTCAGGTGAGAAGTAATTTTGTCCAAAGAGTCCTGTTTATGATGAATGCTGAAGCTTGCTACAGTTTCTGCTACCTCTTCTGCACTAACGTGGTTCAGTGGCAAGCCTAAAAAAAACATAATCATGAGTTGTTTACAGTTCGTTCTGTTAGGAAGATGTCAATATTAACACCAGTGAGGAACTCCGAAGGACCTGCACCTTCTACAGCATCCATAGTTATTGTGACACACTATTGAGTCTCAACTATAATCTAGGCCGAAACAAATATGAGGTTTAAGTAGGATGCAGCCATATAAAGAATCACAGATGTACCTTCGCCTTTCCCAGCCTTCTTTGAGGTGTAATAGCACGACCTACAGACATCGTATTATTGAGATATTTGAAAGTGTGAAGAAAATGCAAGGACAGGTCATGCAAGGAAGTTACTAATCAGTTCCTGGTTATTACCACCTTCTCAGAATAGCTCATGCATATATACAAGTGCTTGTCACTCCAGCATTCTTTAGGTGGCATACACTGCCCTCGTTTCACATATCTGCAGAACGATACACCAAAAAAATCACTTACTGCATGTTTATACATTTTCCCCTATGTGGCATTCACGCTGTATTGCCTCTTGTCTTCAGCACAGGAAAAACTGAGCACTGTGAAATACAGGGTTCCTCTGCCCTCAACTGAAAATGTGCATGAAGAGACCACCCCACAGCACATATCATTTTCATTACTGGTGAGAAACAGGTCAAAAAGCAGGCAAAGTGCCCCTTTTGTCAAACATTCCACAAAATTACAGTAAAGACAGCAGTTTGCTTCTTACCCAGCTGCTTCAGTTCTGATTTTTTCCAGTAAGTTCTTCCCCCGATTCTGTTTCTTCTCTGAAGTCAGCCTGGGATCAGTGGCCCAGCTTCTTTCTGGCAGGACACCAGAATTGGCAGCACCTGCCTTCTGTTTTCTGGTCCCAACACTGCTGGTGGCTGCCCCCATTCCATTGATTATTTTTTTTTTTTCCTTCCTTGACCTAATACTATCACCAGCCAAAGATTAATATCCATGTAGCACACAAGGAGACCTTGCCCTCAGAGCAAAGATGCCCCAGAAGAGATGCGCTCTTGGTGGGCTGCCAAACTGAGTTCTGTAGCAGTTCTTGATAAATATCATCTTCTCTCTGCCAAAATGCCTCATCCAGTGAAGCTCTCTTTGCAAGGAGGGCTTAAGTTGACTATACAGTGACGTGTCTTAAAACAGATTTACTCATTCACTGTTATCCTCTGCAAGTGTTATCAATGTTTTATTTGAACAAAAGGACTTGCATGCCTCACCAGAAGTGCACTATCATTAAGGAATGCAATACAATGAATCTTAAGTTATCAGTGTCTCAGAGAAATCTGTATCACCATTTAAGCTATGTTAGCAGTTTCTTACACATATTTAAATCCTTCACACAAACCCTGCAAGTTCAACTCTGCCCTACCTGCATTGTATGCACAAACAAGTCAGGGCAAAACAATAAGGAAAACCCCCCTATTTTTTAAACATTATGTTCTGTATTATGCAGATATTCAGAGTTTATTCTGAAATCCTTAACAAACTTGTAGACTTAATTAGAACTTCACTTCAAGGGATTAATTTCTCTTCCTCATCTTTGAAGACCTGAGTTCAGTACCTGCATTACATTTGTTATGATTATAACATTTATGGCATCCCAAATACACCAGGGTCTAGTTAAAGGTTTGTGGAATAGTCAGTTGATACAACAGACACAGTGTGTAAAAACACAAATACAGATTAAGAACTAAAAGCAAGTCTTTAAGTGAGAGACACTGTTCCTCGTGATTGTCAATATCTACATTTTGCTAACATTGAACACTTTCATTTTATTCAGAATTATTACTTCATCTCGCCCTGGCTTCACAGGCATGTGTCTCCCACCACAGATAGTTCCTCACTGATCACTACCCTCAATATAACTTCCAAAGGTGACAAAGTAAGATTTTTTTTTTAACCTCCTTTTCTTTAAAGAAGTCTGCAACAACTTCCTACAGTGAATTGTCCCTTCCTAACTGAACAAGAGAAGTTATGAACAGAAAAATCACTCTGTAAATCAGTTAGAACAGAGCTTTTCCCACCTCTCCAAACACACAAATCAATGTTAGTCTATACTGAACTGAAATGCTGCTCTTCTACATCTGCCTGGAGTTCACTTAAAAACAGCAACCAAACAGCCAAACTAAAAACACCTTTGCAGCTTTCCAAATGAGGCAAGGATGTTGCAACAGTCAATGATGTTTGTAGTATTTTGCCTGATAAAAGTTATTCCTCAGAAGCATATGCAATAAAGTAACCCATAACCAGTAATTTCTGGAGAAGAAAAGCAAAATTTTTCAAATGAATGGTATCTGTGGCCTGTTTATGAAGCTATCAACCAAGCTAAAAACTTAAAAATCAACATGAAAAGGCAATTGAAAATATGTATTAAAATTAACCAGATTGCATGCACTTCTACTCAATGAAGGATATATTTTTCGTCTGCCCTGTCTTACCGCATTATAAACAAACTCCTTTAGTTGGAATAACTTGTCTAAAATACAAAGTTTCCAATCTTCAGGTATTGTAAGAATGTACACTTTAAAATGTACATGAAATAAATGGTGCCAGGATAAAAGTTTATGAGTTAGTTTAGATAAAGAGCTGAAAGTGGGCCTGAACAGAAGATGATCAATCCCATTTTCAGTATCTTGTCTATCCTTGATTTTGACTGATCTGCATGTTTTCACAGTACTATAGTTCTGCTACTTCTGGCTTCAGAAAATCCAAACTAAAGGGCATGAAAATATCATCTATTAAAAAAGAATAAAGTGACCAAAAAGAAATAGAAATATTGGTTTCACTTTAACTCTTTTTAAAATTACTTGTGTGTCACATTTAAAAAACAAACAGATTCTACATTTATGGACAAGAAGTGGAAAACAGCTTGTTTTTATCAAATTTGCTGATATTTCTCATATGAAAATGGCTAACTATCAAGTATTCTTGATATTGATAGAGTTGGCAACATTTTAAGTTGTTTACCGTTAACTTCTTCCAATAAGAGGAACAGGAGAGAGTTATAAACATAAATCTTTCCCCTGTCAACATATTAAAAGTTTTGTTAAATTCTGAGACATACTAGATGCACTCACTTTAGCTAATTGCAACAGATACTCAAAAGCCATTCACCTCCTGTCTCTCAGATCTTCTTTAAATCATCTATTCTCACCCACTGATCCCCCGAAAACCAGAATGCCTTAAAAAGTTCAGAGATGGAACTTTTCTGATGTAACTTATCATTAGAGACAGTTTGGCTGATTTAGGGAGAGCGTGCAATTAAACAAAAAAGAAAATGAAAATCAGTTTGCACGCAAAGCTTTCCTATTAGTAAATTCTTGGCAGAATGGGAAATAAAACTTATTTGAAAGCAAAGATAACACACACATGCTCTATGGGTGATGGTTGTAAAGTGTTGTCTGAGAAGTAACAAGAGGTATGCCTGCAGCTTGTTACAGGCGGCCTCCAATACACATTACACACATCTTACCATACATATACTTGCACACATCTGCCACTCTATGCTAGCATTTACCAGGAGCCTTTTAGTACAGCAAGCTTTTGGGGACTGGTGGGATAAGGGCTAGATGGTATGGTATTTCCAAACACATGGAGAATGTCAAAATTACACCAAGGGGTAGCACTTTGTTCTTGCCAGTGTATTTTAGCAATGTGTGAGTTCAAAATCACGGCCTCAAACACAGCTGGAAAAATCTGTGAGAGTATTCTCACCCTAAGCATACACAGAATATTACCAGGGCACCAGAAACACCAGACAATCTTTCTGCCACCTGAAATGCAATCCTGTGGACGGAGAACAAGTAAACCATTGGCTATAGTGGGAGACTGGACACCTAGTGCACAATTCAGTGCCCACATATAGGTACCTCATGCCATTTTGAGAGACCCAGGGTTTTCTAAGGCACCAAAACAGCACTGACACAGGGGGGTGGTGAAGCCAAGCTGGCTGCATCTGAGTACTTCATACAGCACTAAGTGCTTATATGTAGGCAGCTAAACTGGACCTTTCATAGACATGTGGACACCTACATCTCAGCATCTAAACGTAGGTGCTCCTCATCAGGCGACCAACTCTAAAAGAATTATTAAAGTTTTCCAAGTTTATCACACCTTCAGCATATTTGTACAGTTAGTTAAAAAGTTAGAATAAGTACCTCAACTAGCATGCCATACCAAACTTCACTGGAAGTAGGCAGGACAGAACCCTTGATACCATTTGTTCCTAAAGGCAAAATAATGTACTTGAGCTGAACACACAGACAAGTCTTGGGGATACATTGTGTCAAAGTTAAACATTGTTTTTTTACTCCAGACTGAGTGCCAAAATTCAACATTTACCTGCCACTTACTCTTCTTCTATGGAGAGCTCTGTGAATGATCAGATGAACCAGTGGCCAGGCTGTTAACTGCATATACAAGAACACAAATCAACTCTCGGGGAAAGAGAGAGGAATGTTTCTCACCATCAGTATTTGCCACTTACGTGGATTAGGGCTGCATGAGTCATAGGCTGAAGGTGCAGAAGCTGAAGAGATAATTCCGCTCTAAATGTAGCGGTACTGGCTATAATAGGACTGTCTGCCACCCCAGTAAACAGGTAACTGAAGTCACATGTGTTTATCTTCTGAGCAACACCAAACAGATTATCCAACACAAAGTTCTTGAGGAAAATGGCAACTAGGTAGTAAAACTGGTGGCCTTTTACATTTATACACTTTCTAATAAACTAGGAGTCTAGTATTTTTAGTGCCCTGCAAGTATTTTCTGAGTTTTCCATGTGGGCATCCAATACTTAAGTTTCACTGACACAGAACACAAAAATAATTGAAAAAGCATTTGGGGACCATATAAAAAGATCGTGGCACCACATCCTGCCCTTATTCCTGAATCAAAAATGCCCCATAACCTTCCTTTCTATCTCCCCAACACTCCTGCAGGCTCATCAGTGTTGTCCCACTCTTGTACCTCACAAGAAAAATAACTTTGAAATTAACATGGCACATATGCTGTACCAACACACACCCAGGTCACTTCACCCTCTGTTAACCCCAGCCTTCTTTATATACTGCCACTAGTCACCACTTGTCAATTATACTTCCATGCCATGTATTACTTTGAATGCAAGTGCTTTTGGCACCAACCTGTCATGTCTTATTTGTCAGGAAAGCAACATGCATACCTGTAGCACTCTATAAATAGCAACTGTTTTGAAGAACACATTTATTTTCATGCCCAAGGGTGAGCTGTAACCTGTAACGTTACAAACAAGACCCTGACTGAAAACTGTTTTGAATTCGCCTGGGGAAAAGACTGAAGGAATAGGAAAGGAAGATGCAGCAAGAGGAAGAAAATTGTGATCATAATAAGGAATGAAAAGAAGGTAACAGCAACAACGGAGGGAAACTTAAGTCCTGAGTAAGCACCGAGAGACAAATCTTCCAGGGACATTTGAATACACCTCAAATGCAGAGCAAAAAGCAGCAATGGATTAGTATAATTTGGAAATGACATGATCTTCCACTATTTTAACAGTCTGCCCTACCAGGCCTGGAACAGGAGCTGAGCGTTGACCCCTGCCGTAAGCACTCACTGCAGATTCACAGCACAGCTGCAATAACAGTGAAGTCAGGAACAAGAAAGGGAACAAAAATCTGAAAAATCTATTTTGTATTTTACTGTATCCATGATGGATGTGCGTAGGCCAGGCTCGAAAGCTCAATCAGTTCTTCCAGCCAACTATTAGGCTGCTAAAAGATGCTCTTTTCTCACTTGTGGTCATCCTTGCAGCACTTCAAAACAAACTAAAGCAACAACTTTCGTGACCAGGTCACAGATTACATTTTGCAGCAAATTACTTAACAATAACATACCACAATCATTTGCATAGGCTTAAGTTACTTGACACAATTCACAGTCTGATCTAGCTGTCGTGCACTAAACGCACTTCACTCAGTTGACACAACTCAATCTACAAAATGGCACTGGCACTTCGCACAGAGAAAAGACCACTTGTCAGAAAAGCATGCAACCCACCTCCATTAATCCTATTTGGTTGCTGCTCTGGAGTTTGGGCTTGAGGAGAGTAGTAGGGCTGCTGATAAGTATTTGATGGGAAGTGCGGGGAGGTCGGGCTCCTCCTGCAGTCCCGGATACTGGAGAAAGTCTGTGAGTGAGGAATTCCTTTCTGGAAGGGGGTGCAGCGAGTCAGCCGCGGCTGCGGAGGCGGGAGGTGGTCAAACTCTTCCTCGTCCTCAAGACTGTAGCGATCGTATTCCTGGTCACCGCATGTCCCTTTCTTTCCCGCATGCAGAGAGACGCTCGAACTGTGCCTTGACACAGATGCTGAAGTTGAAGCATAATCTTGCCTAAGGCCTGTAAATTCCAAGAAGAGGATGACTCGGCTTCTGCTAAGTGATTAACTCTCAACATGCACTTCAATCTTGAAAACTAAGCAGGTAAGTAGACATAATTGTACAGCAAAAATTGGATTTACACTGTCACCAGGCTGAAGATCTGAAGTAGGATTCATCTCACCTAACTTTTGGTGTCTACCTTTCAGGCACCTAAGCCCGAATTATTTCCCTTGAGATCCTTTTTTTAATGAAAAATAAAAAAAGGAACACAGGCATCTCCAAAATGCAGTACATCTGTGAGATGTCTTAGATGCCTCTCAACATATGATGAACTGCCTTCAGGAGGCACCTAAATAGAAAGACTACATAAGTATTAAGTATTTAACTTTCACACACTCTTAGAGGAATTAACACTCAGTTTATTAGTTTTCCAAGTTATCGATATTAAACATTTATATTCATGCAATGAAAATGCCAACAGCGACATTTCCTAAACTTAAAACTGATGGAAATATTTTAGCTCTCCAACCTCCCTGAACCAGAACTAGTTCCTGCTAGCAGCTGGTCTCATGGACAAGGCTTAGTGGTAACACAGCTGTGTTTTAGACAGGTAAGCATCCTACCACCCTCTTCTCAGAACACCAGGTTTTGCAAACCATCCCAGTATTAGCACTGCCCCAGAAGAGCATGTTTGCTCTGGGTCAAGTGAGAGGGGAAACATTCACTTCCCTTGTATATCCCCCACTTTTCCCAGCTGCACAGTAGCCAGGGAAAAAAGGGATGTACATTGCATTTCCAGGAGCTGAGTAACTCCATCGATAGCTGAAGATAACTTTCCTAGATTTACAAAAAGTCCTCAGCTTTGACAGATGTCCGTGCTATCATAATGAAAACTTAACGTGCTTTCTCCTCCCTCGCGAGTGGGAGTTTCTATTCATGGCTGCGAAGACAGCGTGCCTGCGTGCACGTATAATACTACCACTTTCCATGGGATTATGTGGACAACCACTGCCACACGCTCAAACATTCAGTACCAGCTGTTATTACAAGGATGAGATACAACCATTACACCCAATACAGATTTTTTAGATTCTAGATATAGATTCCCAGTTTACCTGATTCCTTGAAGAGCTAAATACCTGAAGTCTTCTTCAAACCTCACTGAAGGAGATGAGGACAGCTGTCATTTAAGTAATGCAATCCTTTGTGTCTTTGACAGTCATAATTTGCATTTTAAACAAAATTCTTATCACTTTCACATAATATCAGAAGTTTCTGAACTCTGACCGTTTGCCAGCTGAGAATTCAGCTATCTTGGAAAGTCTCACACTTGCTAATTTCTCTGCTGAACATAACGAGTGCTACCAGATGCTCAGCGAGTTCGACTGCTGACAAACGACTGCTCTGGCCTGCTCACTCTGGTTGCTGCAGCCAGACTGCATTTTTAATTTCTTCTTCACATTTTTTTCTTTATTTCATTTAGTCACTTATTACTTGATATTTTCCTTCAGTCAGCATCTCTGAATTTCTCTTGTTTTTCATCTCATCATTTCCTCCTTGATGCCTCACTTGGCACTGATAGGAAGTAAGAAAAATACTGCACTCACTATCTGAGCGACTTCTAAGTCAAATGCCTTTTATTTATGAATAAAGACGTTTTCCAAAAATTACTATCAATCAATCCAAACTATAATCTATGTCAAAAAACTCTGGGCTCAGATTTGTGCATAATCACTAGTCTCAAACCAAAATACTAAATTTAAATGCCCCAATTCAGGACTTCAAGGGGAATTAATTTCAAAATTCATCTGACAATTAAAATCAAAGTGTGTGTGTGGGGGGAATAATCCTTGAGAGCTGCTTTTTTTTCCTTTCTCATTAAACATACGCATGATAAGAACGCTTTAGCATTTCCCTTCCCCGCAACTAGTTTGATTAATATGGTAAGGCATTATAAAACTTCTAAATCTAAATGTGCTCAATGGGTATGTAGCTACCAGTTGGGATTCAGCAATATATAAGCATCGAATTTTGAAAGATATGGTACCATTAACCCAAACTCAATGTGTGGGTTTTTCCACCTGCCATTCAAGCGGTGACACCTTTTAAGAAAGATCCACTCGTCCACGACCAGACAGGAACAGTTTTGACTGTTGCAGGAAATCATCCTCAGGCTATCTTGAAAAATGAAAAAAGCCACCTACTCTCCTCCTGTAGACGAGCCATGATCTGAACATCGGTGAGGTCCTGCAGCTTGTATCCCATGGAGATGGAATCGTCCTCCAGCTCTGAGGTGCTCAGTTCACTGTCTATTGATGACTGTGGGCTCAAAGGGGAACTCCTAGAAATGTAACCTATGTAAGAAAACATAACCTTTAATCTGTGAATACGTTTGGCCATCTTTCATTCACAACTATTTGTGCTTTATGTTACAGTAGCTAAAAATATCTGTTTAACAGATAAGAATTTTCAGAAGTGTAGTGCAATCCACTAACAATCAGCAAAGGGCTTTGATACTCATGAGAAGTAGTAAGCGTAGCAACGAATCATGAATCCCTCTGCTTGTTCCCAAAATAGCATCACATAGCCCAGACAATGAATAATTCACCCAATACAGTTCTGACACAGCTCAGATTAGTCAGTGCAGTCTAAACATATCTGCATTTGATTCTTTCTGGGACTGTGGTTCTCCCTACTCTGTTCTGAAAAGCAAGGGTGTATGTGTCACCAGCTTCTGCTCAGTACTCAGATTCCACATCAGAGCCATTTATAATTATAAACAATTTAAAAACCAGTAAAATTAAAACAAATCAATTATTGTAACAATTAAGACCAAACATTATGCAACAACAGATAAAGCATTGCCTCCTTCACAGAGCTACCTTTTGGAGAGGACTCTGGATTCTACTTTTTCCCTGCATAATAAAACTTCAACTAAATTGCAATCAGTTGCGTGAGCTAGTTGTTGCCCAACTTTAAAGAAAAATCCTTCAAATAAAACAGTAAATTACTTTCTAATATCTTCTGGACCACCAGAAGCTCACAGCCTGCAGGGCAAGAACCACTGTGACTATGGCTCATCAGCTGTGCTTGTATCACAGATGTGTTTGCATCCTCTGGCACTGCTCAAAGCAGCCACCTAAAATTCATCCTGAATTCAGCTGTTCACTAATGATGCCTCCAACAGAAAAGGACAGGCAGGGGATTACTTAGCTTTGGAAGGGTCGTAAGGAGTAAATGTGTTTGCTTTTTTAAATTTGCAAGTTACAATGGTCCTCGAGGTTTTGCAGAGGTAAGTAACAGCTGTGCCCTTTTGGAGCAGCAGTGGGAAGCTAGACAAGATACCTGAGGGTATCTCAAAGAGCATGAGATGCTTTCATTTAGGGATTAAACTGCATCCCATTGAATAGGGGAGCTTAGACATCTCGCTCACACAGAGACACCTACATCAGGCATTCAGTCTGGAGCTGTATCTCATCCACAGCGCCAATATCCCTAACAGGGCTTTCTGCACTGCATTTCACACCTTGTAAAGAAAATTGGGCACAGATCAGTGTGATACTGACGCTAACATCCTGAGACCACACCTGCTCCTGCCAGCAATAAAATGTTCATGCCTCTTCCCTAGAAGATTATTTTCTCCACTGCACCTTAACAGAAGTAAAAAATATAAAGTGACTCCTGATACCTGTTAGCAAAGAAGGAAAAAACGCAACTCTGCAATTTACAGCCCACAGAAAGTTTGCATTTTTCCTAAAACTCCTGCATCCCCTGAAAAAACAGTGACAAACAAAATACATCTTGGATAGCAGCAACAATGCCATCTTGAAAACATCCATGGTTCTGCTGGCTGATTTTATAATAGGTAAGTTCTCCCTGCAACTTCATTGCACAGCTGCACAAACATTTCTGTAGACATAAGGAAGGGGCACAGTAGGGTAGAAATGAGCAGTAAAGGGCAGACAAAGCTGGGGTCTAAGGTGACACAGCTGCAACTACGCTCTCAAGTAAATCATTATTGAGAAATAGGCTGTTGTTTACTAGCATCACTCTCCTATAACATGCTGGGTAACACAGAACATAAGCTACACTACTAGTTAATTGCCAAACTTTAGGCCATTTTAAAAACAATCTCCCTCTGAGATGAGAGTCTATATACAAACACCCAAACAGTGTATTGCTGTTAAATGCTAGCAAGATTAGATTAAATTAAGCAATTTTGTAAGCACCGTAAATCAATAAAAAGATAAGCATTACCTGTCCGTTCAGGTGTTAGTATTGCTTTACTGGAGGTTTTAGAGAAGCTGGGACTATTAAAGCCATTGGTATATGGGGTGAGTCTCGCAACAGGACTATAGGGAAAAGCCAAGGAGACAGGTGTAGAGAAGAGGTTCCGCCATCGGCTAGCTGTTACAGATGCGAGGGAGGAGGTAGGGGAAAAAAAAAAATATTTACAGTTATAAATAGAATAGTGCTGTTAGAGAGAAAAATCATCTCATCTTAATCTGTTCATTATACATTTTTTTACTTAAAGCAAAAGGAAAACAATGGTCAAAGTTCAGCAGCAAAACAGAGGATCAGCACAGCCTTCTACATGGTGAGAGGGTACTCCAAAAAGTTTTCTAGCAAGTATGTCTTCTTCACCATTTTCTACATATATACCATTTTGGTATATATTTATGAAATACATCACTGGAGGCCAGCACACAAAGTAACAGAGGAAGTAAAAACCGCTACTGCTAATAGAGAAAACACAGATGAAATTGGTAGTGCTCTTGAAGGAATTGTTCATAGCAATCAATCATCACACAATTGAATTAGCGGTTAAATTATCAGTTATGGGAGTTCAGAGACACAGCAGTAAAAGATGCTTAACCGTGAAGTGCTAAAAACAACTGTAATCCCACAGCAAGCTTCTAAGCTACCATATTTTCCCTTCTCTTTTTACAGCATCAAATTCCTGATTACATAAGCATAACATTTGTTTTTTCACTGTTTTTGGAGGATCAACAAAATAAGAGAACAGGGCGCTTCTCTTTCTACATATTGCTTACAATAAGCTTGCAAGGCATCTGGTCTGCCCAGCAACGTCACAAAGAGCTCAGAGTAGGCAAAAAAGCTAAAAGCTTATTTAATTTATATTTTCTTAGCTCATCCAGTAAAATATGAATACAACTGTCCTTTGACTATTTTTTAACATGCGTTCAAAAGGTAAAATAAACAGTATCCACATACTCTTCAGAAAATAAATATTAAAGTTGTTTTAAGTAGAAGTAAAAGGCAAAATTTTAAAAATGTACATTTCAGGGAACCCATTCAGATACAAGCAAAGTCTGTACAGATGAAAAACAAGTGATAGTATTGCATGCTTATTTGTGACAGAATCTATTTTGTCCTGACAGGTGCTATGTAGAGCGACACAAGGGAGGGAGCTAGGAACTTACCTATACCTAACTTGGAAATCAACAGCATAACTTCGATGCTTAGCAGGCGTACTTTGCTGTGTCAGATGCTGCAAACTGGTATACCAAACTAGAAGGGCCCAAAAGCCTTCAAAAGCTATTATCCATCAGATGGCTTGTTAATAACACAGATCTGCACTGTTATTTGGACCTGTTGATCCAGCTGCTTTAAACACCCACAGATATTCAAATATTCAGACCCACTCTATTTTAAAACCTCACCATCACCAGCACGATTTAGCAGGACATACAAATTTGTTGTTCTCCTTGCTAACATCAACACCACGCAGCCATGGGAACAGGAGGGAAGTACATCTCACTGGCGGGCCGTCAATCTCATCCTTGCAACCTTTCGGAGTAACCTCCTGATTGGTTTTCCATCAGTCCAAAAGATGCTATTTCCCCCACTGTTCCTTTTGCTTTGACTCAATCAGAGTTACTCCTGGGTTTGTAAGGAATAAGCTGCCTTTTCTACTCAGTGCTGCTAAGTTCGGAGCGAAGGCAACTGCCTGGTGCCAGCACCAGCACAAAGCAGTCTGCCAGGGATGGGGAGTACCTGCAAGGCTCAGTCTCTGTGGGAGGGAGCTCAATTACTGAGCAGTAGGACATAAAAATGCAAATTGTGATCTTTGTTCTCCCCTCATCACAGAATTATTGCGATTCCCTCGTTTTTCATGACTCCAGTTCCTTCAAGCTTAATGAAATCCAGAAGTTTGAGATCTTAACCAGGGCAGCATCAGCACCGCTTCTAGGAAATTGCTTGATGCCAAACAGGACACTGACTTGCAGGCAGGGCTACGTGTCCTTAACACTCACCAATGTCATCAGTTCAAAAGTCACACACGCATGTGTTCCAGGACAAAACGGTGAGCGCACACAGATGGACACAACTCTACAAACCAGTAATCAACACAGATCGCCGGTGATGAGATTAACTCACAAGCAGTTAATAACTGCAAATCCATTTGAGGCATTCATTGAAAGAAATGCACGCGATACAGTAGATCTCAGTACCACATCCACAGCTAATGTGCATCACCTCCACTAGAAACCATCAGTAAGGAGCAAGGGATGACAGGTCCTTGCGATTTTATTTTTATGCCTAACACAAGATCCTGCTTTGTAGCAGCCTCATCATGTGCCAGGCCAATTAGCTGCCAGCGTGTTCTCGCCCCCAGATGTGGTCAACCGCACAGCGCAAATAAACACCATTCATCACTCCCTACAATCACTGCTGTGAGCTGGCCCACCGAGCACAAAGCAACACTTATCGGGACTATGAAAGCAAGAGCCCACATGAAGAATATAATTAGTATTTATGGCAAAGCAGATTCCAAACTCCTCTTTCAAATAGTATGTGTTGTCAAGGAAAAATGGACAAAGAAGCCAAGAAAGTCTATTTCTCTGTATACTAAACATCTAGATACACCAATCTAAAATATTCCCATTTCTAAAACTTTTGCCACTGTGCCTAAAATAAAGCTTTAAACATCAGCAAGGGATTGACACTTTTTAGGCATACAATGGTTTAGGTTCAAACATAGAAAAATGTTTTCATTAGGTTTCAAACGGAAATATCAGCGTACATATTGAATACTTCCGCAGTATTAACAAAGACAGCCAAATTAGGCTTACCGAAGTCTTGTGTTAATGCCAGAAACTTAAACAGGTATGTAGGAAACAAGTTTTGCTGACACCTAGGCAAATACTAAAATAATGAAAAATTTGTAAAATCCAAAAATTGTGCAATGGATAGTAATTTTAGGAAAGTTATTTTGCTCCAAACTGAGTGTGAGACTGCCCTGGATCGCATGGTGAAACACCACTATGGTACGCACAGATTTTGCTCTTTGTTACCGGCTCCCAGTAGGCTGTTCTCAGAGAATGAGACAATGTTGTTAAGACCTTTATTTCAAATGTAAAAGCCCAGCTGTTACCCTCTGAATTTTACAATGTTTGTGATTTTTTTTTTCTTAAAGCCCCAACTCTGGCTGCCCACAGATGAAGTAAGAAACTCAGGTACCTTCAAAAAACAAAGGAAGTTTTTAACTCTCACTTGAATAGAAACAAGAATAATCCTGCTCTGAGCAGCTTATACTGAAGATGCACTGAAGTAAGAGAAAGTACCAGCCATGGAAAGGAAGGCAGAGGCATCTAAAGAGCCATCAAAAGAAAAGAAGCCAAAAAAAATCCATTTAATTTATTGACAGCAAAGAATTAAATGCATTAACAACCCGACTTCTTGAAGCACAAAACCCTTAACCTTTCACACCAAACAACGAACTAATATTCTCTAATACAATAAGCACAAATTGTCTTAGTCTAAGCCTATAGTTAGACTGGAAGTGCTCAACTTTTCAGGTATGATTTCCTTGGTTTTGATCAATTCTTAGAAACTAGACCACTGATAATGTGCTGCACTACACAATGTATAGCGTAATACTTTTAAAAAGGACTTGCCAAAATGACTACCTAATCGATCAAATAAAACTTTCCTTTAAAAAATAAAATCAGCAACAAGTGAGCCTGGTCATAACTAAAATATTTACTAACACAACTGAAGGTTAAAAACAAAACTAATTAAGATCATATTTTTATAACTTCCCTGGAGACTTCAAAATGCTAAAACAGACGAGAACAGTAACTCACATAGAAAAATATGAGCAACTACATAAACACAAATATTCACCATACTAACTCCTGTGAATAATCAGCATTTGGTAAGAACTGATGGAAAATCTCACATGAAAACCTGAACAAGTAAGCATCTACAGAATTGCATGGGTCAAAAGGAACAGAGGGCTCTGCAAAACCAGAGCATGCTGTACTGTATCTGAAGCAATTCCTTTACTAAAAGCAATTACTTATTTAAGCTGCATATGGTACACAACGTCTGAACGTATACAGAAGTATGTTTTTGAAAGTGAAGATGAAATTTGCTATTCAAATAAATCAGAACATTCATAAGCTGGAACACGAGGAATAAACATCGTAGATTCTCATAATGTTGCTTTGATTTTGTGGGGTTACACTGATGTAAACAGACAGAACAAGTGTAGGTCCTGTACTTGATAAATAAGATATAATATATTCTATATAATACATATATGAAATGTATATAAAATATTTATAAGTACATATTTTTATATATGTATACATTTTATACGCATAACTTATTAGATAATATTTATATTACTGTTTAGATTACACAATAAATGTATTATATAAATATTTATATATCCTATAAATATATTATAGTCATAATATTTATATACTTTGAATAGACTTATAGAATAGATATATTTATATTGTTATATTCTAGAAATATATAAAATATATTTTATAATATACAACATTAGATAGTAATTATATTATGATGTATTATACATATTATATAAATATAATATTTACATAGTATATACATTATAATAAAATAAAAATATGTAACATAGGAATATATAAAAATACATATATTTATAAGACATTATTAACTAAGGATATCAGTGTTTACAAGAAACCCAAATAAGTACACGCACATTTTAAACACCTTCAATTTTCATAACTCCGTTATGAAACTCTGTGAACTCAGCTTCACAGAACACTAACTTACTTTCACTCTAAGCAGCACAAAAAAAATATTTCTTTGCTATAAACACAGAAAACAATAGAGTCATAAATAACTGTGTTGTACTACTGACTAACCACACTCAATCCTATCTGAGGTGCTATCAAGCTTGTTTATTCATTGAATTAGCTTAAGTTTTACATAGGCCTTCAGGCCAGTGTCAAAAATACTTTTTAAGCTCAAGCTAAAGACAAATTAAATCACACATACGCAGATATTTGCATATTGGTCCTAATCACACAGCAGGAAAAAAAAAAACAAACCACCTACTCTTTTGAGCCAGCAACTGGAAGAATATTTACAGCACTGTCAATCCCACA